AATACTAGTTTGCTTCAACTTCAACACTCTCAAGAATGCATCATTAATTGTCTTAAATCCAACTAAATATTGCATAATGATATCAACTATCATCCTATCTAAACCGTACAATCATCAGGAACACATTCCCAATCACAATTACAGGGCAGAGACAATCTCAAATGTTAGATGGGGACAACCAGAGACAGATTATGAAACAGATAGCTTCCACCGGATAAACCCATATCAATATTCAATGAAACAAACAAACAAACACTTAAATGCAATAAAATGAAACAGAGATATATACAAAACCGAATGCCACATACCCTCTTGAGCTCTCTGAACAGGGTCCATGTTTTTGAGCTGTTTCCGTATCTTAGACCTCAGAGACCGCTTTCTCTCGAATATTGCTTCGAGTTCACCAGGATCAATACCGTCCGTATTCATGGTAACGACGGTACGACGCCCGTTAACGGCGTGGAGTGCAGGAGGTGCAGTAGGCGATGGTAATGCGCGAAGATAAGAGATTCGCACCGCCTCCTTCGCCTTGCTTAAGAGCCTGGAAACACTGGTTTTGCAATGAGAAAGCATGGCTTCTGCTCCGCAGTTTGGATAGAGATCAATGGCGCGTACTGTAAATGGTGGTTGCATAAAGTCCAATCAAAGTCGGCCACGTGTAAATGTGGTGATTCCTAATCTCTACCTGTAAGTCATTTTAAAGTATGGAATTTTGCCACAAATTATGGGGTACTTTTTATTATTAATTTATATGGAAAAAATTAGTTTTATTAATAGTTTAATTAAAATATTTTATATAATATTAGTATTACAAATAAAATTATTTTTTAAAATTTTTATATAAATTAATAATAAAAAATATAATAAATATATTATTAACTAATATTTTAAATATATAAATAAAAAAAAACTCTTAGAATAATATAAGTGAATCAACTATTTAAGTAATTTAATAATTTTTTTTTGTAAGACATCTTAAATTTGAGTTATGCAAACAAGATGATTTAGGAAATGGGAGAGAGTTGTCTTGTTATGCAATTCTAAATAAAAATAAAATAATATAAGTGGATTAATTATTTGGAAAAATATTTATGATCTGAATATGTAAAAAAAAAGGTAGAAAAGTGGTTTAAATAAATTTTCATTGGAAAAAAAAGATTAAGTGGGTGCTGTTTTAGAGTTTAGAAAATAGTTATAAGCTGTTGATTTTAATTAATAATTTAAATATTTTAAATTATAAATAATAATAATTATTAATGATTAAATATTAATTATCAGTAATAAGCTAAATTTCAACTATTAATCCAAACAGGAAGGACCCTTAAAATATCCTAATTATTAAAATAAAAATGTGAATGGTTTAGTTTTTTTTTCATGATACTTATTGAATTGTAATTTTAAGTATTTTTTAATTCACTTGTTTTATAAATTTGGTTCATAAACACTAATCTCTAATTAAATATAAATAATTAACCAAAATAGGAGTATTATTCCTTCATTATACAACTCAATATAGATTAAAAAAATATCTTCATAGCACAAGAATCCCACAGGTTCTCAAACAATATATATATTTGCATTATGCCTGATTTTTTGCACAGAAACTTGAAAGTACATATATGCTTGTGTTGTGTTCGTTGCTAAATTCTATTGGCTTCCAGGGCATGGAATCATCACTTTTTGGGCCAATAATTCTCTCTGCATAAATTGATGTTGCTTTATTTTATTTTTTTGTATTAACCTCATAATAATCAGTAATTACATTAAATTTTTAATTAATTCAAAATTAGATCTTATAAAAGTGAAGATGAAACTATTCTAACACATATTTCTTCAATCACATGATTCAAACTCGAAATCTTATCTAAAAAAAATTAAATTCTTTCTACTTGAACTAATAGATTATTGGTATTAACGTTGCTTTATTAAGTTATATATATTCTTGTTTCGAAACGAAATCATATCTACATATGTTTATGGGAACATTTTATTGTGTTGTCTTGTACGAATCCGAAAAAGAAAGATGGAATTTTTTTCACTAGAAGAAAAGCTCATCAATGGCAAACATCATGGGCCTGGTCAAATCTCATGCGAAGACCAAGCAAGTCTGTGCTTTGATTTTGGCCTTGGTTTTGGTCTCTTGGAATCATAGTTTTTTTTTTTTTGAGAAAATCATAGTTCAACTCTTAGGACAGCATACATAAATAGTTTGATATGATTTCATAACTATGCACACAATTTTCCCCTTCTAGAGAAAAGGCGGCGCATCCCAGAACTTAACAGGAAATAATGGTACATAACACACATGAGATTAGCGTTTATTAATTAGATTTATAAAAAATTAAGTGAAAAATATTTAAAATTATATTATTTTAATAAAACACTATGAGATCCATTAAGAGATAAATCAATAATCAAGAATATAAATTTTTATATTGAAGATCTCCAATTTGAATTTGAAAATAAGTGAGAAGGGATTTGAAAATAAGTGAAAAGGGATTTGAAAAATAAGAACTATATATCTTCTGTTGTTGTATAATTCATTGTTTGAAGTATTAAAAAAATAAAACACTATGAAAAAAAATTCAAATAGTCTAATTTATGTTTTAGAAACTAATATATATTAATTTTTTAATAAAAATAATTAAAATAACATAATTTTTAGATATTTTTTTTTCTTAATTTTTTATAAATAAAATTGATAAACATTTTTTTTAAATTTTTAATAAATATAACTGATAAGCATTTTTTCCCATAACTTATAGTATCATATGGCAAATTAAGTGCACATTGGCTGAGGCATCCGTATCTTAGCGAGGAGAGTAAAATTCTCTCGTGTGATTACTCATCAGCTTCAAGCAGAAGTTTACATATATGCAGAAAAAAGCAATGAAGCATTGGATTCTCTCAAACACCAAAGTAGTTTTCACTTTATGTATATATATTTTGATAGTTTCACCTTTTATATTTTTTACTGTGAGATTCATGTAATGTGGTATATATGGATGAGACCAAATGTGCCATATGCTATAGCACTATATTCCTTATTTCACATTTATCCAAAGATAAATATTCAAAGAAATCTCAAGTACTAGAGAGAGAGAATGATGTATTAAAATTTTAGCAGGGGTTCAACTAAGGGTGGTTCAAAATGATCGGGGCATAATTTGTGGACCATGTATGGTGTTTTTTTTTTAGGCTGTCCACGTCTGTAGAAGAATATGTGTTTCTTTAAATGTTTGAGAAAGTTTTTATGTAAATGTGGGTATAAGCCGCAAATTCTTATTTTGTCTGCGTATATAAAGGCAAGGATATAACACCACGAGATTGAAGTTGAACACAAAATTTACTGTTTCCTTTATTTTATAATAATAGATTTTCTTTTTAATTTTATCTTTAAATTAAATATTTGAGGATAATTTTTATTTTTATCCATATTACTCTTTAAAAAAAAAGTAATGAGACTTAAATTACGATAGAATAAATAATTAAAATAAAAAAATATTTATGTCTCTTAAAATATAAAAATATAACAATTATTCTAAAATAAATTTTAAATCAAAAAATTTACCATTTTGAAATGGAGGAAGTAATATACAGGCAGTCTTTGTCTTAGTTTATACCCTCATTTTTCAAACAGCTATCGCAAAAATTGAATCTAGGCCAAATTATGGATATTTTATAAAAATAGTTCTAGTTTATTTTGAAAGTTGATTTTAGGGCCTAAACAACATATTTCTTAAGGGCATATTTGATATATCGGTACACACCTAGAAAGTTTTAACACTAGATTCTACTTCTCAATTGCCCTTGGATTTTGCAACAAGGTGTTTAGTCTATAGATTGTTTGGTTGACTAAACCCCATATTTTTCTAAGTTTTATGCCTTCTCGGCTTGAATTTCCAAAAAAAAAATAAGGGATTTAGTTGATAATTTAGTTGACAAAACAAGCTACACTCAAAGGGCACAATCTAAAAGTTGGATACAAAACAAACAAAGCCCTAAAAGTATTCATTCAATAAATTCTTACTATTTCGTGTGATTGTTTACTTATTTATTAGCGGATTTTTACAAGTACTAATCGATCGAAAGAATCATATGAGATTGTGAGAATTTGTTTTGAGAATAGCATTGGATGATCTAAAGTCCCTAAATCTTCCAATTGTACCTTAATTTTTGGGAAGTTTTGCACTTTGCTTTCTTGTTATCCTACGTAAAGGATAACGAAGTCTTTTTTTGTGTATTTAAGTGCATGAAAATACACAAACTCAAAGTAAAGATCGAAGATAAAGCAAAATCAATATCTCTTCATGTCACGTTCCAAACCAGCTGTTTTCTTTATCTCTCTTCTCGAAAGTGCAGAGAATCCCCCGTCCTATAAAGAATACCAAACACCCTTCATCTTTCAAGTAAAAAAACTGCTCCAACAATCCCCCAAAAACAAAGGGAAAAAAAAAAAAAAAAATCTTCCCCTCAACCTCCACACAATCTTCCATTCTTAGCTCTTCTTTTTCTTCCTTCTTCCTCCTCTTATGCATTTCCTTCATCACCATTTTACCCTAATCTTCGTCCTTTGATTTTTAATTTCCCTCCTTATATAGAAATATTGAAATTGAATAAGGGGCAGAGGGGAGAATTAATTATGGGTTGCGGTTCGTTGTCTTCTAGGATCTTGTTTGGATCACTTGTGGTACCGGCTATTATTTTCCTTTTTTTGGTGGGAACGTTGCAGCAAACTGATGGAAGGAAAACCAAGATGACATTGACGACGACTACCATGAACTGGTCGGGAAAAGCAGAGCGTGGGATGGCGCCCACGGGCTGGGAGAAGGCTCTTGTTCATCCTCAGTTAGAAATTAACTACTTGAGCAAACGAAAAGTTCCTGGTGGACCTGATCCTATTCATAACAGGTACTTACATAAATCAAAGAAGTGTTTTGCAGTTTGAGCTACATTAGATTATAGAACACTTGCACCATTGGATTAAAAGGAGCCTTTATATTACGGGAGGACTCCTTATCCAATAGTTAGTGTTTTGCATGCAGTTCAAACTGAAAAATACTAGACTCTACATATATTAATATAATAATAATATATATAGATACACATATATCCATTTTGGTTGGCCTACAATGAATTATAATATCATGGTTCTTGAATAGGTTGGGACTTACGCTGGATCAGTTGATCCCACTTAAACTTTGCAATCTAATACAAACCGAATTAAAACCATGCATAATAGAATATGAGAAAAAAAACCATGCAAGATAGACCGAAAGGGTAATAAATTTAAGTTCTTTGTTATATTATTCTCCACTCTCTTTTTTCATTATTTTTGTAAGAATCAATCTGAAAGTTTTGATTTTGAGATTTTAAATTTACATATATACAGTTTAGTTTCAATAAACACTCAAACCTTATCCCAACACTTAAGGAAACTATACGGTTTTTATTAAAAGGAGTTATTTCGGCATTGGTTTCGACGTCGAGGATTGAAATCCTTTTTCAAATACGACTAACAGTCACTTTTCTCTCTTAATTTTATTATTTCCTCTATAATTACTTTATTGCTTTATCAAATCTTAGGGTAATGGTACATGCTTTAATTTACTGTTCTATTGAAGGGGCATAACCCCCCATACAACCTCTAATTGTTTGTCTTCAAGACCATTAGCTCCTGAACAAACACTGTGATTTAGTCCTTAAACTTCATGTTATTGCTATTATTGGCTTAAAATAGTCGTAATCTCATTACATGATCCACATAGCCATGTCTACGTTGTTAGCCTATCCTCGTTAACATCATATTGGCATAAATATGATCCACTTGAACCTATGGAAGCAGAAAAAATCTCACCTAGGATGAGACCCACTTGTGCTTTGGACAAGATTTTTCTATCTCCATTGGTCCAAGTCGGCCATATTTATACTAACATGTTGTTGATGAAAATATGGTTATGAAGTAGACACAACTATGTGACTCATGTAATGAGATTATGTTTATTTTAGGTTAACTACAACAATAACATGAAATTTATAAGTTAAAGAACATGAAACATATATTAAGGGGCTAATAGTTACGAAGGCAAATAATTGGAGGGTTTTTAGGCGCTTAAGCCTTCTACCGAATCCTTAATTTGCATTTGGCCCATTATCATAGGCTTGGATATGTTTTAACACCTAACAGCCACACACAACGAAAAAGGAAATAAAAGCTGTCTCTTTCACTTTATTCCATCTCTTAAATTAATCATGTTTATTCAAAACTAATTATTCACTTTCATTCACTGCATTTATGGACCCTTTCTACCCTTTTTTATCGCACCCAACTTTCTCTGTGTCTCTAATTTTTATTAAATTGATTTTAAATATGATAAAATATAAGACGTTCGGAAAATTAAAATATTATAATAATAATATTGAAAAAAATTAAGTATTTTTAATAGATAAATATGTAAAGAAAATTTATTAAGAGTATTTAAATAATTTTATAAATGATCTTAACATCTGAATATCTTTATTTTCATTTTTTTCTTAATTTTATGCAAATTCAACTTATGAGTTCTCAACTTAACTTCATGGTAAATCCTAACTCTCTAAATCCTTTTTCTTTTCCTTAATATCTGGCAGGAACGCGGGCAACTCCAAACAACCACCTGGAACTCATTAATTATCATTAATCATCAAATTAGCTTGAGGAATGCTTGATCTGCACCCAAATTGCAAGAGATGAAACAAGGTGTCTACCATATTTCTGTATGTAGTTTTTTGAAAAATGGGGACTTATAAGTATTATATAATACTTGGGAGCAGCTGCTTACTCTCCGTTTACTTTCACCAATTATTGTTGGAGATTCTGGGGGAAGTTTTAAAAGGAGACAGAAGCTTATCTGGAACAAAATATATGCCTCAAAAGCATATATATAGCTGGCTAATGAAAGATGATTAAGCAGCCTTTTGTAAAAACCCCACTCTAAATACTGTTTCATTTCATTTCTTTTTTTTTTTTTTTAAATATTTTTAAATCGTGAGAGAGAAAGATCAATTAAATGTAAGAGATGGAGAATATTGACAACAGTAGATAGCTAGGTTGTAGCCATGGGTGTATTGTATTTAATCTCTATCTCCCATTTAATCATGTTTGGCCTTGTTTGTTTGGACTAACCAAAGTGTTGTGTGTCGTGTGTGTGAAGTTACCATGTGGCAGTAATAAAGTAATTATTGTAGTTCCAGCTTTTCACCTTCATGTTGTATGTTAATTTTTGACTTTTTTTATTCACAACTTAAATTATATCATATTATAAAAGAAAAATCACTAGATGGGGAAGAACTCTTAATATTAAATTTTATCTTAATTTAATAATTTAAATTATATAGTTCAAATTACACAATATGTGTTTTTTAAAAAAAAAAAATTTTAAGTTTTTAGAAAGAACTTTGTTATGCTAAATTGCAAAACAGAAAATTTTGAATTGAGAGAGTGCCCCTAATACTAATCTTATCTATATTTTACAATTCAATATAATTTAGATAATAAAATACATTTTATTCGGAAAATTTGTTGGGTGGAACTTTAGCTTCTACATACTACAGTGGAAAATGATATCAATACTGCTATTTGTTTGAGAATCTAAACCAAACAGATATATGTTTTTTTTTTTTTTTTTTATGAACAAACATATATTTAATAGTATGGTAGCTTTTAATTGTTACTATTATATACGTGTGAGGTGATGTAGAAAAGGTGGGCATGAGTTCTTGAACTAATTAAAGTGAATCCCACCAATTAATTAAAGATTTTGGGAGTCTTAAAAGAAAAAGATGATGTAGGTACTGTAATTGTTAGACTTTATCTCTTGATTCTTTGGTGGCAGTACTGTGCTTTGGTCTTTGGTCATATAGTCAAAACTTATTTTTTGGTTTTTTAAAAGGAAGGCAGAACAAAACTGCAACCCATATATTCAAAACTTATTCAAAACACGCACGCGAAATTCTTGTATATATTGATAATAACAGCAATCAAAGAAAGAGATGATGAGAAAGAGAGGAAAATAGAATATATGTAGTCTAAACTCTCATCAAAGTACAGGAAAAAATAACAGCAATCAAAGAAAGAGATGATGAGAAAGAGAGGAAAATAGAATATATGAAGTCTAAACTCTCATCAAAGTACAGGAAAAAATAAAAGAGGAATTCAAGTTAATTAATATATGCCTTCCTCTGCTGGCTTTTCATAATTTCCTCAGATGTTTGAGAAGCAAATAAAGCAACGAAGACTGGTCTTAAAGCTATGGATTCTAGTTGGAGCAATTACCCAGAAGCATGGGAAAAGGTTAAAGGAGACCTGCAAATTTTCTGAATTATCTCTCTTTTGTTTCATTTTGAGATAGTTCCAAGCAAGAGGTATGGTAACACAAGAGGAAGTCCCCCGGCCAAAATCGTTAATGGAGAAAAGGTGATCGTCCATACCAGGGATCGATTTTCGTAAGTTACCCCACCCACCCCACTTCCCATTGGGTTTGAGCAACCTGCCCCATCCATTAAAAAAAGAAGAGGAAAGTAATAACACAACGCATAAAAAAGAAAGAAGATCATAAAGAAAGAAGAGAAATTAAAGAAACCAGCTAGTGGGCAAATGTTTCACCCCCAATGCGTCTGGGGGATCGGGTTGGGAGCTCTATTCCTAACCATGCACTTATAAAAAGAGAAAAGTAATAAAAATTGGTCAAGTTATTCTTAGTATAAAAATTTTAATTTAACTGAAGTTTATTTTATAATATCAAATAGTTATGTTTTAAGAAAAAAAATTTTATATCACACACCTAATTTTTTCATAACATATTTCGTGTAAGGAGAGGGGAAAAGAGGAGCAATTATTTTAATCAATTAAATTAAAGTATCCATAAAAAAACCTCTTTCCTTCTACTCTTTCAAACAAAATAAATTTTTTAGGTAAAAAAAAAAATAAATAAAAGAGAAGAAAATCTAGACATGATTTAACATCTCTTTATTTCTATATTAAAAGGAGGACATTCATTAGACATAAAATCTTGCTCTTCTTCTTTTTATGGTAAAAAAAGTGTAGCTTTCCTTAATTAATTCGACATTTTATCTCAAATTCAAAAAGGCTGAAAAACCCTCTTTCGTGCTTTCTTTGACCTAATATATTATTTTTTAAAAAAAATAAAAATAAAAATAAAAAAATGGTTGCCAAACTCAAACAAAACTACGAGTTCAAAAAGTGGGGGACCGTGACACGTGTCACCAGCTTTTACGATTTTGACCCGGCGTAGCCACCCGAGAAAGAAAAGTTTTCGCTCCTATCCATTCTGACGACCACCTCATGAAAAATACAAAAACTATCAATTTATCTTCCCAAAATTATTTTATATTTCAAATTATAAAATTATGAGATAGAGACTCATATATAACAAAAAAAGTAAACTCTTTAATATTAAGTCTTTATCAATACTAATCATTTGTACGAATTATTTATCACTCTGAAATTAAAAATAATAATAATTTTTTTAAAATAAAATTTTAAATTTAAATTTTATAAATAAAAAAATAAATATTAATAAATTCTTTTCTTATAAGATTTAATATAGCTTAAGATCCAATATAATTTTTAGATACGAAAAGATAATATAAAAAAATTAAGTTTTTATAAATTTAAAGTTTTTATTTTATAATTTAAAATAATTTAAGTTATAAAATAATAAATTTATTTATTTATTAATAAAAAGAGAATACAAAATAAATTATATTATTTTTAATAATTGATACTAAAGTCGTCTCACTATTAATAATTATAAAAAGTGTATGATGAGCTGCAGTTTAGTTTAGTTTAGTTTAGTTTTCTGTTGCGAGAAAAATTGCGAAAAAAAATTCCACATTTCATTTGCATTTGAGTTTCATTTCCCACGGTTCTTTTTTCCGTCAAAATACAAAAACGTAATTTTCTTTTTCTAAAAAAAGAATTTTCCATTTTCTGGAGAGAAGCAAAGAGTGATGATAGATAGATCGGAATCGAATCCGAACCCCAAAGCTCCAACCGATCTGCAAAACGCTGCGTTTCACGGATCGGAATAGACCGTTCGATCTGTTGGTTAATTTGCTGCCTGAGCGATCGTACGACCGGTGGTGGTTGCCGTGGTAGGGTGATCGGACGGTAGAGGGAAAAAGGATGCCGTCGCTGGGGGATCTGGACCGTCAGATCGAGCATCTGATGGATTGCAAGCCGCTTCCGGAGGCGGAAGTAAAGACTTTGTGCGATCAGGCTAGGGCTATACTGGTGGAGGAGTGGAACGTGCAGCCGGTTAAGTGTCCGGTGACCGTGTGTGGAGATATCCACGGCCAGTTCTATGATTTGGTCGAGCTGTTTAAGATAGGAGGCAATGCGCCTGATACAAATTACCTTTTCATGGGCGATTATGTAGGTAAGTTATTTGCTTTACTCAGTTTTCAATTTTGGATTTTTTTCGATTTTGGTAGAGTTTGAATTTTTTAAATCAATAATTTTATAAAGTTAAATTCTTCCTTAAATAATCTGTTTCCTTAATACTTTTAACATAATTTCGGTATTATAATTGTGCTATTTATCCTGGATTTATATTTATTGATCTTCTGATGCAAATATAATTACTGGTTTTTGTTTTTTTTTTTATTCATTTATATATTTAGAAATTTTGAGGATGTGGATGTTGTGTGGGCATGTCTTTTGCAAAATCCAATTGAACGTGTTTTTATAGATCCAATAGTTGCTAATTTGCTGAAATTCTGTTGTGACTTGATGCAGATTTACTATTTATGGATGTGCTAGCGTTTTCTTATTCCTTGTTTGCTTCTATGCAGATCGTGGGTACTATTCCGTGGAGACTGTTACACTCTTAGTGGCCTTGAAAGTCCGTTATAGAGATAGAATTACTATTCTAAGAGGAAATCATGAGAGTCGGCAGATTACTCAAGTGTAAGATCTTTTTTTCGCAACTATTGTGTTTGTTAATCATAAACATAAACTGATTTAGATAATTAGATTTGAGTGCATGGAGTTCCTAGTACTCCGTTGTAAACACCAGTGGGTGTTTTTACCATTCTCTGTTGGATTTCATTGATTAACTTATTAGGCCTTAAGCCTTAGTGGGAGTGATATTATATTGGGTGTACTAAATGGATTCCTGATGATGCATTCTTTATGATATATTCTTCTACACGAATGCTCCATTGGATTACAAGTGTTGCATCCTCAATAGTCTAAATGGTCGTTTTAGATCTCTGGCTTCTCTCTCTCATGTGCAAGATAACAAGGCAAACGCATGAAACTTCATAATCTTTGTCATTCCACCCTTTCCTTATTCCTTAATATGTCTCATAAGCTTCTATAGAATTTATCCCTGGCATTACAAACTCAGAATGTTACAACTTGGTCCTCACCCAAATAATTTTAACAAGTTAGTTGATTCTCTTTGGTTACTTTTATGAACACTTACCGCGTGCCATGGTAAAAAAGCAAATGTTGGTCTCTTGTACATCATCATCTCTATAAGGTGTCTGGCAAAATGGTACAACCAGGTAGAATTCCATTGACATGTCTCTGCTTTGAGTCAAGATAAAGCAAAACAAGATTTTTCATGGTTGAGCACCATAATATGACAAAGCCGTACTGAAGTGGTAAACACTGATATCAATCATAAAGGGAGGACATTGAAATGTAAAATTGTAAATAGGTTCATAGTTTTGGATTTCATAGGATGCTCATGACTTGGGAAACTATTCTTTCATTCTAAAAGATTGAATTTTTGAAGCAGCTAACATGACCTTGGTGATTAGAGGTTATAAGAAGCATACACTGCAACCATGGTTAACATATTCAATTGCTTTCCTGTGGTTTCATTTTATATGGTTCCATTTTTCTTCTGTTTTTCAGGTATGGTTTTTATGATGAATGCTTGAGAAAATATGGGAATGCCAATGTTTGGAAGTATTTTACCGACCTTTTTGATTATTTGCCCCTTACAGCCCTTATTGAGAGCCAGGTTCGAATTGTACTTGTGGAAGACTATTAACTTGATTACTTGTCATGACAGCTTCTGACTACCATAGAATTTTAACTCATAGGTGTTCTGTTTGCATGGAGGACTTTCACCATCTTTGGATACATTAGATAACATTCGAGCATTGGACCGCATACAGGAGGTATGTGTACATATGAAATTCTCATCCACTTCTTGAGTAGTACAGACAATTGTTTTGTTGTGATTGTGAAGCAGTTGGAGTTGCTAAAATTATAAACAAGTTGGGTCCTGGTATTAAAAATGCTAATTTATTTTTGTACAGGGGTTTAATTGAATTTTCTTGACTAAGCTTTATGGTCTTGTGTTGTGCCTTATATATAGACATTTTCTTGTGTTATTGTTTTATAAGATTGTTTTCTTGTATTCTTGATTTGTCATGTTGCATGAAATGATGCCATTCTGCGTTTTTCTGCCAAGTATAGGTTCCACATGAAGGACCTATGTGTGATCTCTTGTGGTCTGATCCTGATGACCGCTGTGGATGGGGAATATCTCCTCGTGGTGCTGGATATACATTTGGACAGGACATTGCTGTTCAGTTTAACCACACCAATGGGCTGACTCTGATTTCAAGAGCTCACCAGCTTGTCATGGAAGGATACAATTGGTGTCAGGTGTGAAACCTTAAACAAAAAGATTAACCTGAATTTTTTTTTTTCTCAAATTTAACTTAACTGATATTCATTACTTAAACGACAATTTAATTTATTTTGTAGGAAAAGAATGTGGTGACCGTTTTTAGTGCTCCAAACTATTGTTATCGCTGTGGTAACATGGCTGCAATTCTAGAGATCGGGGAGAATATGGAGCAGAATTTTCTTCAATTTGATCCAGCACCCCGACAAGTTGAGCCCGACACCACCCGCAAAACTCCTGATTATTTTTTATGATCTCCTCTGTTTTTCTGATAGTGGTTTGTTAGCGTCCGTTTGTTGCTGTATCACTGTAGACTTGTCTTGAAAAAGGTGAAAGCTTTGTTGTTTGAGGTTCATACTTCATAGACGACTTCATTCTTTTTGCCTGCTGCTGCTTTGTTAATGTGCTCAAGGAACTCGTTGCAGTACCGACAAAGGCCTAAATTGCCTCTGGTCTTGTATATTTTCAAAAGCAGCAATAACATGTTACATCTTCTGTAATTTTACAATCTCCAAATACTAGATTTTTGGAGGGGTGTTCCAACGCCCTCCGTTGTAAGCTTTCAAAATTTAGCAACAAACTGCCCAGAATAGGTTTTACAATCATTAGTAATTTGGTGCCTTGTATGTTTGCCGATACTGAGCTCTTGAAAATTGAAAGAAAGAAGAGGGAGTGGGTGTCTGTTTAGTTCTCTGACAATGTTATAGCTAATATCATGCAATATTGTAAGTATACAATTATGATGTAATATTAAATGAATATAACATGTCATTAAAACAGAGAGATGCCTATAATATTACAAGTAGATTTCTAAATGAAAAGAACTAATTATGTAAGAATATATCATTTTGTAAGCTTATAATATCACGTAATATTGTAACTATATAATTTCATTTAGTTTGAGGATAAAAATTGAATGCAGTATCACTGGAAGAAAATGTAGAATAAAATCCACTGCAGACTGCACAAAGGATAAATAAAAATAAATCAATTAACAGCAGACCAAATAAAAAAGAAAAAAAAAAGCATGCTGGATTGTTATGCTGTAATTCTTCTATACCAGACTATATTCTATTCAAAGATATTAAACAAAGATGGCTTCAGAGGCAGAGCATCCTAGACATACATGGGCTTACAAATTAAAACCTAGAGTTGGTTTGGATCCTTCCGGGTGCCACTCCTGGCATAGTAACAGTCTTCCTCCTCCTGAAGTACACGCCTGAACCACTA